TTCGGTTCTTGGTCTAGATCCGAGACCCTACCCAAACCCATCGGTTCTCGATTCGGGTACTCGTTCGGGTATTTAATTTATGAAGAACCGCTCGGTTCGGTTCGGTTCAGTTCGGTTCGGTCCGGTTCGATTCGAGACTTTTGGACACCCCTAAATTATGATCTTGTAAAATTAATCGTCCAACTTTATCCATTGAATAACTTGCTTATTTGCATAATTCATAATTTTATTATAAAAAATAAAAGTGAAAATTTATAATTCAGAAATGTATAAATAATTAAAATATATTTTTTGTCTTGACTCTTACATAAAAGATATAGATTGAACCAAGGCCACTCGTTTTGCAATGTTTGGTACCTATCTGGTCCATTGACCATATAGTCAGTCACAAGGTCGTATTAGGCCCAGTCGTACGCCCTTAGATTTTTCTAAACAGATTGGTGAAAATAATAGGAAATTTGATCAAATGTCACATTCGAGAGGCGTTTTTTGAAATAGACACAATATTTTAATTAAAATAATTATTTTTTTTACATTTTGCTCATTTTTGGACTTGTATCTTCAACTTCTAGTCAAAATTTTATATTTAACTTTCAGTTAATTAACATATTTTGTCTTTGATTTTTCCCGTATTACATAACGAATATGTTTTATTGAACTTATGTACTCGTTCCTTATTTTTTTTATTTAAAAAACACAAAGGGTAAATAAGTCTTTTTATCTCATCCTAGCAAATTTTCGACCATCATCGTAACAAGATGTTTTAGTTAAAAATGAGGTTGAGATTTAAACACGACAAAAATTTTGGTATATAAATGTAAAAATGAGCAAAAATTAAGATTACTATAATTATAATGTTGTAAAAGTCGAACCACATACCGCTTGAAGTAATCCAAGTTCCAAAAAATTCAATCACAATAACCAGAATTTGAAAATCATTTCTCTCTTTATATTTCATCCCTGTTTGAATCCATTCTCTAAAAATTCATATTTTTCCGAACTCATGTTCAATCACACATCCAGGTAAAACAATTTTACACGTAAATCTAAATTTCTTCCTTATTTTTTAATAACATCCTCAAAAAAAAAAATTTAAAAAATCACTGTTACAAGAAAAACAATCTTTCATGTAGAGTCACAGAGAGCAAAGCAAGTGTAAATATAACAGGCAAACATGACATGACCAACCCAGTGTACAGCCACAGGGCTCAACACAAGTAATATGATCAAATATATCGAATTGATGTCAAAAGTAAAATATTGTAGGAGATCTCATAAATATTATATAGTTTTAAAGCTCCCTAAATGAACTTTCAACGAGTCTGTCAACGAAAGAAAAATCTCTACGCATGGAAGCCTATGTAAGCGCCATCAGGGCAAGACAACTTCAAAAAAGCGAATTTATTCATCTCCATCTTTTCAGTGCGCGCACCAAATTCTGATTTGCCATTGTGTTTTCAATACGAATGATGAAATTGCACGTCGCCAATGGATCTGTGATGAAATACAGTGTAAATGCCTATGCATCAATGCACTACAGAGACGGGAAAAAGTAAACAATTGGTGAAAAATAACTTAATATTAATCATCCATATAAAACCACTCATAAGTTGTAACAACAGGGAGACAATACGCTAAACTTCAAGAGACATTAGCAGCATGCATGACACAATTTTAGAGAAGTCTGATGTAGCGCCATTAAAGAGTTAAAATGAACGACACTTAACAACACATGTTTTTTCTTGTTCTTGGAAGAATTTAACAGGAAGCATGTTTGACTGAGCTTAAAAGTTGCTTTTCTAGAAAGTTAAGACTTGCAAAGTAAGTTTCTCAGTTAAAAATGTAACTTTCAAAATTATACGGCAAAATAAGTTAGACGAACTTTTAAGCACATTCAAACATAAAACATGCTTTATAATAATAACTGACAAGTCCAATATGTGGTGACTTTTTGTCTAAAACCACCATCCCCAATGCTACCATCATTCTCAAGCACCTGCAGTTCTCCCCTGATATCTACATTATGTTTGTCTATGTGCTTGTATGCATGGACTCACACAGAAGTCCTTGTCGGGCTTCCATTGTTCAACTATAGGGGACTCCCATACCATATTCACCATGTCATTCCAAGTATTGTGCTAAATTTTTATTAGAAGCCAGACTAATGACCTGGGAAAACTAAGAGAGTATTTACATAATTTTTAATCCAAAGTTGAATGCATCCATCAACTTAATGCCAAAATAATCAATTCATATATCAAGATAGATCTATTAGTCTTGTGCATTTGTTTCTAATTTCCCAGGTTCACATTGAGAAAAAATTGATTCAAGTCATTATACCATAACCATAAACCATAATATCAACTATATGAAAGCTTCAGTATCTCGATTCCTCGGACTTCCTTTAAAGATTGTCCAAAAAGTTGTTCTTCGTATTAGTTCTCACAGAAATTCCACTTAACAGTGTCAGACAATAATAGGACCAAGGAGATTCAATCTTTAATTCCTTTGAAGTAAAATATGAGAAAACCCTGAATCTTAAACTGAACTCAATAGCTAGAGGCGAATTTCAGCAATCATCAGAGTGCACAAATTCAATGCTAATCTATAATATTTTAAGGGCCCGTTTGAGCCCCAATTTTTGTGTAAAATGCATTCTGGAATAGTAAAATGATAGAGAATGTTTGATTAAAAATGAAGAATTTTTTTTGGATTGCGTGTAATATTATTTTATTGAAAAACATGTGATTGAAAAGAAGAGAGAGAAAAATGTATTTTGAAAAAAATGAGGATCAAACAAGGGCTAAATATCACATCAAATGCAAATCATTTTTTTAAATAATACATTACCTTCCATCTTCCAACATATATATATATATATATATAATTATTTCAGTAATACACTACTTTTCGATTTTCGATAAGCATTTAATTTATTAACCATTTGAACAATATTATCACTAATTATTTTGCTATTTAAGATGAATGTACATTTGACACATTTATTACCTTACTTTTCGTTTTTCTATATGTATTTAATTTATTTAACCATATTTGACAAATTCATTGCCTTTTTTGTTTTTCAATATGTATTTGATTTATTTAATTAGTTGAACAATATTATCATTAATTATTTTGTAAATTATTTAGTTATGATCAATGTGCATTTGACATTCGTTATACTTGATTGGATAATAAATTAAATTCATTAAAAAAAAAAATTGAACAAAAGATGAATATTTTTAGAGTTTCCTTCAAATTGATTTACTCAATGGATGTTAAGATACAGTGAAGGTGAATCTATAATAAATAAATTCAATTGATATATTCAATGTATCTTAAGCGAATATAAAGAAAGGGTGGTATTCGTTGGATGTTCAGTTTAGATCAAATGGACAAATGGGATTTTCTAATTGACTTCCTCAACTAGGTAAATTATTTTCACAAACTGGTTCTTATTTTATTCAAATCAAAAGTTCATTCCACATAGATGATTTGTATTAATTATTTTTTATATTCTCACATTTTCAAATATTATTTTTATAACACCTATAAAGTATTTCAGATTAACGTGCAACGCAAGTTCAACCATAACTACTCAAAACAGATATGAGAAAGTTTATAGCCATAAACAGGAGCCTGTTGCAGAAGCAGATTCAATCTTGAAAGATAACAAAAATCTATTGAAGATGTCAAACTTATAGGTCTTTATGGTCAAAACATATATAATTTGATAAAAGATAATCAAGAATATGATAAAATGGCTTTTGAAAATATGTTGTCATAGCTGAGAAATTTCCCAATGATCAACTGAAAGAAGTGCAGAATCATTCTCAAATAAGATCTACACAATCTTAGAATTTCAAAGCTTTGGCCCACATGTTTATGCCATGGAAACATAGTTAATTAACAGAAATGGCAAACCAGAAAAACTCCAATATAGTAATGGCATCAAAGAAAGCATAGGAAGAGAACTGTACCTAATACACTCACTGAGCCAGAGCCTCAAACTTCTTTAATGCATCACACGTAGGTGCTTCCCGCCTGTAGCCCCAGTGAAGTTGCTGCCACTCAAGCCTACAATTATGCACAAGGACATTGTGATAATCATTCTCGATCCTATGCTCAAGTGTAATTCGTTCTGGACTGTAAGGCGGATACTGCTGCTCAAATTTTGAGGACTTCACGTAAAAATTGACGCCCTTCTGTGTGGTAAACCGATGCTCATGCGAATATGACCTCTGGAGAGAATAAATTGGCTCTGACGATGGCAGGAAATTCAGCAACAAAACCAGTATCACAGGCAATAACTGGATCAAAGTCCTCCACCCATTAGACCCATGATCACCACCACCTGTTTGAACCCTTACCCTAGGTCCAAACCTAAATCCATTAAAATTAGCTGTAGCAGCAGGATTCATTCCCCCGAAAAAGAAATTTCTGAAAATCTCATCTGCATCAAATTCCCCATCATAAAAACCATTAAATCCTCTCATCCCATTAACGCCGCCACCACCTCGCCTCTCATAAACAGGCTCGTCCGACCCAACAACATCATACTTCTTCCGACTCTCCTCATCGCTCAAACACTGAAAGGCCTTGGAAACCATCTTAAACGCCTCTTCAGCCCCCGGGGCATTGTTCTTATCTGGATGAACCTTCAATGATAACTTCCTATACGCCTTACGAACATCGTCAACGCTACAGCTCTTCTCTAACCCTAAAATCTCGTAATAATCTTTCTTCCTCTTAATTTCCCTCACGATCGTGACTTGCTCCTCGGTATAACCCACCGAACTACTCGATGACGATGACGGCCCACCTGCTGAAACCCTACGGCGAGGCCCAGTTTCAGCAGATTTCGATGAATTTTGGGGATTTTCATTCGCGGGTTCATTAGGGTTTTCGTTTTCCGGTTGCGAATTGTTCAGATGCGATAAAAACTCTTCAATTTCGATTGATGGATCCAATCTACGAGCTTTATGAAGAAACTTGATAGCACGATTTCTATCGCCCGATTCGATTGAATCCTTGGCGATTTTCAAGCACTTCAAGGCTTCATCTTTGTTTCCATCCATCCTCTATGTAATTATGTATAAGAAAAGAGGAGAAAATTGACTCTTCAATGAAGATCTATTGAAAGGTTTTTATGCGAAGATTGATTGAATCGAAAGAGATCGGATAGTGGAAGTCTCTCTTTCTTCCACGCCCACTCGCGCAGGGAAGGTCTGTTCGGTAGTTGATAGGAGAATTTTCTTAACCTTCTCTTGACAGATTAGTCCTTAACATTTTGAGTGTTTAGCACATTGGTCCTTGAGTGTAATTTTTTTTTTTTTTTGCTCAACTTGCCGTCTTTAGTCAGAATTTGATTGAAAAAAAGAGATTGGCGCAAATGGTCTCAGATTTTTGTCCTTCTCATATTTTAATTTGGATTCAATCCAAAATTCCGATTAGTTTTTACACAAGAAATGCAGTTAATCTTATTTATTTATTTTTTTATTTGAAGGATCAAAATTTATTAAATCAGAAATAAATTATAAGTAAATAGTAAAATTTGAAAAATTAAAAAAAAAAAATAGAAAATACATATTGCAAATTAGTCAAACCCTAAATCCACCAATGGTCACTCAATTTTATACTTGGTGTCATCATGACCACTCAACTTGATTTTGTTTTATCATGGCCACCCAACTTAATACTTAGTGTCACCATAGTCACCCAATTTGATTTTATTTCACAATGACCATACAATTTCATGTAATTTTTCACAATGGTCACTCAATTTCATATAACATTTCACCATGGACATTCAACTTATTTTCATCATTTTCATTAATTTTAAAAAGGATAAACCCGTAACTTTGCATTATATATAAAGAAATAAATTTAAAATAAAATTATAAAAAAAACTTATTTAAAAAAAATTTAC